TTCTTTTGTTTTTACAATTACAGTATTTTGTTCATAAATTTTATATTTAATAACTTACAAATTCTATAATATTAAACTATAGTAACATGTTTTTACAAAATTACTATATCTATGTATGCTTTTCTGTCATATCTTTAAGGAATATGCATAATTATTTGTCATAAACAGTCTACTGTGAATTACTTTATTTTAGCTGGAATTACCGGTAATTTTCACTGAAAAGACTTTTTGAGTGTTTTGTATGGAATTTATTTTCACTGATTTTTGGCGAGTTGAATGTAAAATATAGGAAAAAAAAGGTACATTTGCTGGATTTTATTTTCACTGAATCATTAATTAATTTAGCAAAAATTTATTCCAAGCGAAAATGAAGTATTTTACAGTCTATATGTGACCAATATTAATTCTTTATTAAAGCACTTTGCTTTACAGATATGCATTCCATTTCCAGGATATGAGAATTTTATTGTCCTCATCTGACTGGCTTAGTGTCCTTCAAACTAAGTAAAATACTTTATTTCATCTGGAATTAATTTTCTTATCTTTTTTTTTGTATTAAGTTTGTTTTAACTGATTTTTGATGAGTTTAATGTAAAATATAGAAAAATGTTTTTTTTTTTCAGTATATTTTTTTTCCACTGAATCATTTCATCAGCGAAAATAGTGAAAATATAGTATGTTATAGTATTTCATATATTAAAGGGTGGCAGTCGTCGCGCCGCGTCCTGTTCGATATGGGACTCATAGCGACGTATACAACGCGTGTAAAATACATTGTTTATTTACATGAAATTCGAACATGCGCTGCGCGACGACCTCCATGCTAAAGTCCAAATCATCTGTAGCAGTTTAGGCCTTTGAATTAAATGTCTATGTCCTACATGCATTGTACTAGTACCCTATTCGCCCTGTTTGTAATGCATGTGATTTAGTAAATGACCAAGGTATGTCTATGGTGAGAATAAGATGTATTTTAATGATTCCATATACATATACAATGAATGCCATTTTTGGTTTATGTGTGCTTTAATTGAAGATGCACACAAAAGCAAGTACGATACTTGGAGATGTACTTTCAATAGAGAGAATACAGTAGAGGTACTTGGAGATGTGCTTTCAATAGAGAGAATACAGTAGCAATATCTCTTGAGGAAGGGAAATACATGTACATGATGAGGCAGAGGTACATAAGGATACATGTAGGATTGGAATGGAAGTTGTATTGAGTGAAAGTACATTTGGGTAAAAGATGGGGTAGGAGCTAAGTAAGGTGGAGAATTGGGTAGTAGTTTGATGGGAGTTGGGTGGGTAGAATTGGGTAGGAATGGGATAAGTAGGAGTCACGTGAATGTAGAATGAGGTAGTTTAACCCTCATCCTATCAGCTCCATGTACTTTTACTTTTATTGATTTGAGCAGATAATGGTTATTAATGGAATATGAGACGGTTTTAGTGAAGGTAGAATGAGACAGGAATAAGACGGTAAAAGCTGGATGGGAGGGGGATGACGTCAGATCTGTTCTTGATGAAACTAGAATGAGATAATTGGTAGGAGCATAGGTGGGAGTAGGATGCGGTCAGATCTGGGTTTGATGAAGCTAGAATGAGATGGATATGAGCATGGGTGGGTGTAGGATGCAGTCAGATCTGGGTTTGATGAAGCTAGGATGAGATGAGTAGCAGCATGGGTGGGAGTAGGATGCGATCAGATCTGGGTTTGATAAAGCTAGGATGAGATGAGTAGCAGCATGGGTGGGAGTAGGATGCGATCAGATCTGGGTTTGATGAAGCTAGGATGAGATGGGTAGGAGCATAGGTGGGAGTAGGATGCAGTCAGATCTGGGTTTGATGAAGCTAGGATGAGATGAGTAGCAGCATGGGTGGGAGTAGGATGCGGTCAGATCTGGGTTTGATGAAGCTAGGATGAGATGAGTAGTAGCATGGGTGGGAGTAGGATGCGGTCAGATCTGGGTTTGATGAAGCTAGAATGAGATGGATAGGAGCATAGGTGGGA